TGTTTTCAGAATGTGTAAGATTATTTGTCTTGTTAGTCTGAAAACAAGATTATTATTCTTACAAAATCAGTTCTTGTTTAGTAAATCAGTCTCAAAACAAGATCAAAAAGTCCTTTTGGCTGGATATAAGATTTTAAAACTTGGTAAGATGGACAGTTTTTGCAGTGTACTGGTGTTCTAAAAAAGTTTGTATCCCTGAAAAAAGTTTCCCCACCAGAGGGGGCGCTCGCGAGAAGGAAGTAATTTGCTTTTGCCCCAGAAGATGGCCCAAATCTCATGTGAGGTCTCTGACTTTTGTGTTGGCGCATCCTGATGGACTATGTGTAAAATGCCAGAATTCAAATGATTCTGCTACAGCTGATATATTTGTTGTCAAAATACMTTTTAGTACATATGTTGTTAAAATAAAATGAACAGTCCAATGATCATTTTACAGATATGTAAAAAGACTGCAAAGGCTGAAGATCTTGAAGTCTGTATGAAATTGGAGGTTGTTTGAGGATTAAATTTTTTATGCTTTTTAAGCTCAAAAGAGGGTGTGTGGTGTGGTCATATTAAACATGAGATTGTATTATACATGAATAAATACAGTATGTGTGATTTTATTTTACTTCAAATTTGCCAGCAGAACATAAAAATATTTTGTAACTACATAAGACATCCTGACATCATCACGCAGCTGGTTGTGGAACAGATGCAAGAGCAGAAAGCAGAAAAACAAAGAGGAAACTACAAAACTGAAGGGAAAGAGATTCAACTGGCCCCGTCTTCATTGAATGCAAAGATTTGGGCTTATTTTGCTTTTACTGAACGAGTCTTGAGTTTGACATGAGCTTCGCTGTGTGCAATATTTGCAAAATGAAGATGAAGCATTTTGGGAACACGACAAATGGGCTCATATCAGTTTTGAATGAAAAATCAAATTTGAATCAGATCATGGCTCCAAAAATCAGAATTGAATCGAATCGTGAGATAGTAAAAGATTATCACCCCTACTATTTTAAAGGGGCAGATATTGTAAGATTTTTATTCTTCTCTCTGCTTCCTTTCATTTCATTGTATTTGTAGTTTTTTTTATTGTACCGGTACATAAAATTTTGTTTTTTAATGAAATGAATAAAGTTAAACAACTTTGATATCTACAGACAAACACGAGCTAAAACATTATAATTTTCAGCTTTGACAGTAACTGATAACTAGAAACAAAATCAACCAAACATTAGAATAATTTTATTTCTGACTTTATGCTAATCATCTCCGCTCTTATTCTTTTAGCTCTACAGAAACATTGACGGGGGTGCACATATCTTTGCATGCAAAGAGACTAATGTTTGTATATAAGTACACGAGATTCTTGTTTTTGGACTCGGCAGAAAAACCAAATTTATTGAGGTGTAGAATCTATCTCACACAACTGAAGCAGGCTGCACTTCACTGGTCGTTCAACCCCAAATGGCAGAAATCTGACAAATGTTTACTGGAGCGTTTCCTCATTTTCTCTGTGTGAAACTTCTTCCGAGCTTTGGATGAAATACGTCCTTGAAAAGCACAATTTGACAAACCACATTTATTTTAAGCTGCAGAAGAAGAAAACTGATGTAAAGGAATGAATCCACGAGTTCTGAACTTTAATTTTAACATTTAGACTGATTCATAATTTAAAAGAAAATGAACACTGGACAATCTTTCCTAACAATAATTGTTATACTGATAATGACTGATTCTCCAATCCATGACTTGGCTTCTGCTCATTCTAATCTCCCAGGTAGGTGAGAAGCCAGTAGCTGCAGCAGGACCATATGGCCGCTGCCCTTCCTTTGTCTGTATTGGCTGACCTCTGCGACTAACTCATGCTGACAACTTTCTGCTCACAGATAAGGTGTTATCAGCCAGCAAACCTGCCTTACATCTCCTTATGAATGCTTATCACACTATTACACTTTTCCGCTTGTTTTGCTTTTTGTTTTTCACAATGAATCACCTGTAAACTGAAATACTTTCACTTTGATTCTTTCATACATGTGAGTGCAGCTCAGGCTCTGTGACAGCCTGCACATTCTGATTCGTTTCTGTTTGCATTGATTCACAGTCTGAGCTCACACACTGCTCTGCTTTTAGACTTAAAGGGATCACATATATGTGCAGTGTAATGCTGCTATTTTTTAATACACTGTATTGATCCCCTGGCGGGGAAATTAATATATTTTCCATGGTGTAGTGTCGGAACGGTTGGTGTAGGTACGGGTCGGTACGGTTGGTTTTCCACTGATGTTCCAGTCCGGTTCCAATGGGTGTGTTTTGGGCGGTTGGTGGAGGTGGTTTTTAGGTATTTTGAAAAAAATTAATGGGCAAAATGAGAGACGGAAACACAATTGATGAAAATCTTTTGAAATTTTAAACATTTGCAAATATTTAGCCAATCAGTGACAAACAGTGTTCTGACATAGCATTTTGGTGTCAGCTGGGGCCGGTTGGAACCACAATGAAGTTACTCAAAAAAAGTGCCAGTTCCATGGATCTGGCCTAATGGAAATGGCTTGGAACTGTACCGACACTACACTAAGTGGCACTAGTGGGAAAGGGGCATAAGTTTCTGCATTTAACCCATCGCACATGTGAACACACGTGTGGAACAGTGGGCTGCCAATTACAGGGCCTGGGGAGCAGCTGGGGGGTTGAGTGCCTTGCTCAGGGGCCCAAGTTGGGGCTGGTTGGTCCGGGGAGTCGAGCCGGCGACCTTCTGATCACAGACTCGGCTTCTCTACCCTCTGCACCACCACTCGACCCAAACTTTGCACTGTATGTTTCTGTAAAAACAGCAAAGTCAGCTAGACTGCAGGCAGACCATGATCCTGCAGGGTCAGAACCATCTCCATCTTCTTCTGCTTATCCGTAGTCGGGTCGCAGAGGTAACAGGTCCAGGAGAGAAACCCAGACATCCCTSTCCTCAGCGACACTTTCCAGCTCATCCTGGGGGACCCCAAGGCGTTCCCAGGCCAGAGAGGATACATAATCCCTCCAGCAAGTCCTGGGTCTTCCCCGGGGCCTCATCCCATTGGGATGTGCCTGAAACACCTCTAAAGGGAGGTGTCCAGGAAGCATCCTAATCAGATGCCCGAACCACCTCAACTGACTTCTTTCGATGTGGAGGAGCAGCGGCTCTACTCCAAGCTCCCCCCAGATAATGGAGCCCCTCACCCTAACCCTAAGGCTGAGCCCGGCCACCCTACGAAGGAAGCTAATTTTGGCCACCTGTATCCAGGATCTCGTTCTTTCGGTCATGATCCACGCCTCATGACTATAGGTGAGGGTTGGAATGAAGACAGACCAGTAAATTGAGAGCTTTGCCTTTCGACTCAGCTCTTTCTTCACCACGACTGACCGAAACAACGCCCTCATTACTGAGGATAATGCCCCAATCCGTCACTCCATCTCCCACTCCACCCAACCATCACTCGTGAACAAGACACCCAGATACTTAAACCCCTCCACTTGAGGCAGAGACCCCCCCCTCCCCGACCCGGAGGGGCATTCCACCAGAATGAAGTCAGAACCAGAATCCTTTATTTCATGACAAAAGATGCAAGCTGATGGAAATCACTCAATACATTTCCCCATTTGTCTTTGGTAGGCAAACCTTCATATTCTTTGAAAGAATCGCCCAACACCTTAGTTTTAAACTGAAATTGTGTTATACTGAGAAATGATAGTCGTTTTTGTCAAGTCTTATAACCTCTTGTGATGTTCTGAAATGTCACACACAAACTTTGAATGACTCAAATACAATCTCATCAAATTCTGACTCGTTACCTGTTACTGTTGTAGCTAATACAGTACAGTGGTTTTTGCTGACACTGATTAGCTTTGGCCATTTTAATATGCACTGACACCAAACTTTAATCAGTTATAGAAGTCCATCAAATCATCGCTTCCTGAAAGTTTCATTGAAAATGGTGTGTTGGTTCATGAGATTAACAAAAGCTTCAACAGCTAATGCTAAAGTTTTAAGCTAAAGAAAAACAAAGCCTTTATTAGGTGTTTAGGTGAATATATGTAATAAAACTGACAKAATTGGAGCAAATTTTGTGGCTTTTTGAATCAGTTGGCTGTAGCGGCYATCTTGAATCGATTTGATTCCAAATGACCCAATGGTTACTTCTTGAAAGTTTCTTTAATATTAGTCCAGTGGATCATGAGATATTTTACAGACAAACTGAGTTGATTGCAAATCATGTTTGTTTTCAAGCAACGCTCTACATAAGCTGTTAGCGCTCAGAACATGTGTGAGGGATCAGGCTCAGCTACTACCACACTAACTTCTTGGTTCATTTCTCCAACACTGACTTCGTTATTGTCTTTTAAATTATTTTTATTTATATTTTTTGGGAGGGGGGGTTGACCCTAGGGGTCATCTTGAATCTTAATGACACGAAAGACATCCAATGATTTTTGAGTCAAAAATTACATTATAATTTGTTCAAGTGGTTCAGAAGATATGTTGATAGACACACACAGACACATTTGCAAAAACATGGCTGTTCGCCTAAAGTCTTTTGGCGGTGGGCGATAATGAACAGAATATATGTTTGTCTCCATTTCAAGCTTATCTGCTGTGTTGTGATATGGGCTAGGCTGTGCAATAATGAACATATAAGTGAACTTTGTGCCTCACGCTCGAGCTGACTCTCAGCAGCTTTATCTTTTTTCTTCTTTCATATGAGGTAATTTCCTGCCTTGCCCAAAGGAAAACCTGATCAAGGTTCCTTCTTCAGGCTTGCAGATGCGTGGGAGGAAGGTGCAGYGTGGTTCAGATTCCTCCTACATCTCACTGCTGTGGGACCGTCCCGCAGGCGGATTGATTCTTATCCAAACGGACGAAGCAAACGCAATTAACGGAGTAGGTCGAGCAGGTTCTAATTCCTTGGAAGAAAAACAACCGTGAGAGAAAAAAAAATTGGGGGAATGCATGATTGCACCTGATAAAATCCCACTGACTGGAGGAGAGAGGAAGAGGGATTTGGAGGCGCGCGACCGCCTGCGCGCAAGCTGCAGACCATGCGCATGTATCCCCTCCTCCCTTTGCCTTCACCAAAATAAAAAAAAAGCTGCTTTGTCAAACTGAAGCATGTCGGCTGACGAGCACTCGGAGCTCTCTTGAAGAAATCGAAGCGCGTGGGAAACATGCTGCRCGCACGGGAAGCAGGTGGAGTGGAAGAGAGGAGAGCCGGAGCGACGCGCAACAACAATCCGTTGGACGAAAGCACCTGCTTCAGACTGAAAAAAACACCTCAGTCCTAGCTGCTGATTCTTCTCCACAAATCTGGATTTGTCTCGGGTTAGATTTGGGAAACGGGACAATGGAGGCGTCATGAACGCACGGCCAGTTTGGAGATCACCTTAAGGGCMAAAAGGACAACTCTGATAATTTTCTTAAAAATAAGGAGGTCTGGTGGTTCTCTGCCAGGATGAGCGGGGTTCTTCTGTTAGGACAGTCCCTCTACATCGGGATGGAGGTGCTGATCGCAGTGGCCTCTGTGATCGGGAACGTGATGGTGGTCTGGGCGGTGAGGATTAATAAATCCCTGCGAGACACCACGTTTTGTTTCGTCGTCTCCCTGGCTCTGGCGGATATTGCGGTGGGAGCGCTCGTCATCCCGCTGGCCATCACCATCAGCATCGGACTCCAGACGCACTTTTACAGCTGCCTGCTCGTGGCGTGCACGGTGCTGGTGCTGACGCAAAGTTCAATCCTGGCCCTGCTGGCCATCGCGATTGACCGCTACCTCAGGATCAAGATCCCGACCAGGTAATGTGGGTCAGGAGGGAGGTGGGGGGGCGCTGAGGGCTGGTGCAAAGGTGGATGAGATGACATTATAGTGATGGCAGAGTTGTGTTCCCAGAAAAGCCTCAGAGGTCAGTTTTCTTTCCTGAGCATTGATTTACACGTGCACGGGCTCCTGTTTCACTTCACAGCATATATTTGTGCCAACAGGACCATCCTGATTGTCCTGGTCTCAGCATCTTTTTAAAACAACAAGCACTGATGCAGACAGGCCTGTGGTTACGGCAYATACAAAATGTTTTTACTGAAACAAAAAGCAGAGCAGTCATGATGAGGAGGAGGAGCTGATCAGATAAGCCAATGTCATAAAATAGATTATCTGTGAGGGGAAAGAGCTTTTATCCAAACCTTATGACAGCACTCGGCTCAAAGTTTCAGCTCTTGGCATGTCTTTTTTTTTTTTTTGTGTACAGACATCCAAAGTTCAGTCATTATTATTTTCTAAGGAATAACTCTGATTTCACTYACAGTTTATACAGCAAAAAATCTAAATAAAACCCTATCATAATTAAAATTAACTCTTTTTTAGGTTAGCTTTTCTGATCAGCTGTGCTGGCTCTGTGATGCAGCTTTCTATGCTCCTCAGTCAATATTAATCCAACACATGGCAAATGTGACAGTTCAGCTAAATTGCAGGGTCCAGTTTGGCTTCGGGCTACCTTTCCGCAAAGGTCAKGTGGTTGTAATACCAACATTTCCTCTGTTCTGACATCAGACACGGTAAATATCATGCACTGCTAATCCAGAAATGATCTGATTACYGCTCTGCATGCTTTCTAACATGAGATGGGTCTGATGACTGTTTTCATCTCTGTTACCTTTAGGCAAGTTTCAGGCTGAGTCTCTGGTTCATTTCTTAAAGACAAGTTGACAAGAAGAACATTTTTGAGCTCCAGCTCCTGTTTTTTATCTATTAGATAAAGTAAAGGAGGAAAACCTGTTTCTCAACATGTAAACTTTGCATTTTGCTAAATATCACATGCTTGTCTCTGCTGGTATGTTAAATTGAATGATACCCATTTRAATTTAGCTTTCAACATGTATGAAAAGTGATGGCTCCTACAACAAAAGCTGCACATCTTTGCTAGAAATCTCAAAAATCTCTTGGACAGTTTTCACAACAAAACAACTTAAATATACTGAAGAACAAACACGAATGATAAACAACTCCCTGCTGTCTTTTAACCTGCTTCAAATACGTGTTATTTGTCAGAATAAATTTTTCTTTTTTTAATGTTTGTTTTTTTTTCTGCCAAACAGAGGCAAAATAGACTGAGATTCAAAAATACTTGAAAGGCAGCTTTTAAAATGATATTTGTTGCCACATTAATCTGTCATATTTGTGTTTGTTTTGTAATAGTTTCTTAGTAGTTGTGTTTTTTCTCATTTTGAGATTATTTTTACTCAGTTTTGCTTTCTGCTACATAGTTCCTACAATAACTGACCAAAGATTCCTCAGTTAGCCTTGCCCTCAGTTCATCATTCACACCTGTTCTTCATCACTCTATAAGCTTCAACCATGCAGCAAACATGAAATTAAACATGGAATATGAGACATCTTGAATATGAGGACCACACCTATCTGAGCATCACCTCAGATCAAACCTGTGCACAATTGGGCACGAATCAAAACCAACTTGGTCAAATGGAGGCTAAAAAGGAATACAGCCTCCAAATCCAAAACATGGATCTGTCTAACTACTTATGCTCTGATTTCTTATTCATTGGTTCATCTTAGTTTTGAGTTGTTGTTATGGTGTTTTCTGGTATTTTTTGGTTACAGTTTCAATTGTCAGCACTTTGTGTCTCATCCCCACTCCCATAAAAAACAGCTTACATAATTTTAGTTTGATTAGTCAAGTATTGTTGTGTTTCATCCAAGCATGTCAACTTTGCTAAAAGCTTATAATTAGAAAAGGAAATGGGGAAAATCCCCCCCAAAGTGCCTTTAAACGTTATTATTTATCGCCTGCTGCTAAAAGGCAAAAAKTGGGCCAGTAATGCTTGTCTGAGTGTGGTTTTATTATTTTCAGTTCAACATGTGACCCTTTGATTGCTACAATACAACTCAGTCAACTTGTTTTCCACACTGCTCCAGAAAAACAAACATAACTTTCAATAAATGTGAAGTAAAAAAAGAAAATTCTCCTAGAAAATATTCATCTTTCAGTAAATGTTTATATTATTTGCTTGTTCCTGCAGATACAAGCGAGTGGTGACCCCTCGGCGAGCTGGCCTGGCGGTGGTGATCTGCTGGATGGTGGCTTTTATTGTGGGACTCCTGCCGATGTTGGGCTGGAACAACCTGAATCGCTTCCAGCAGAACGGCTCCGTCAGCACAAACCTCAGCATCACCTGCGAATTTGAAAACGTCATCAGCATGGACTACATGGTCTACTTTAACTTCTTCGGCTGGGTGCTTCCCCCGCTGCTGCTCATGCTGGTCATCTATGCAGAGATCTTCTTCATGATCCACAAGCAGCTGAACAATAAGAAAATCACCTCCAGCTACTCGGACCCCAAAAAGTACTATGACAAGGAGCTGAATCTTGCCAAATCTCTGGCTCTGGTGCTTTTCCTCTTCGCCRTCAGCTGGCTCCCTCTTCACATCATCAACTGCATCACACTCTTCTGCTCGCAGTGCCAGACGCCGAGTGTTCTCCTCTACGTCGCCATCCTGCTCTCGCACGGCAACTCCGCCGTCAACCCCATCGTCTACACTTTCCGCATCAAGAAGTTCCGCACGGCCTTCCGGAAAATATGGCAGCAGTACTTCCGCTGCAAGGAACTGTCGGCTCTGGACTTCCAGCAAAGTGACCGGAAAGACACGCCCAATCCGGTGCCGCTGCCTCCCGCTCCGATGAAGGACTTTAAATCGTACCCACCACTTCAGCCGGGGCAGCCTTCACCTGAGCTACAAAACGACCTGAAGATCAAAACACCTTAGGAACCTCACAAACATGCTTGGTGGAGCAGAGCACGGCCTGAGCGAAGGCAGAGGGGCTGATGGTTGGAGATGCAAAAGGTCACAGCACGAGCAGCGGCTCCCTCCTCTTGAGAAGGTAGTGTTATGAAGATCATAAATTTCTGGGCAAAAAAGCTGCAAAGCCGTTGCGAGGGAGGCAACACAGCTCAGTGGAAGATAATTCATCTCCTCTCAGGAGTACATAAAAAAGCAGGTACTGATAAACCTGCGATACTGGAGGTCCTATTGACTCTGTTTATCTTAGTAACAGACTGAACACATTAAGCTTTAACTGTTTATGGTAAAACAGCTGGAGTGAACTTCAGAGAAATGTGAAATCTGATTTGTCAATATCAGACGCTCAAACGTTGCAACACGCTTGAGCATTTATACAACCAACAGAGCAGGGTAGCCACACTACTGTAATAATGTGTAATGTGTTTAAACTGACTCTGGCTCCAAAATATTGAATGTAAGCTAAAGTAAATCTGAGCAGCACAGCTGTGAATGCTCATTTTATCTTCAGGGTCTTTATTGCACAACAGCGTGCAGAGAAGGCAGCCGTACGAGGGAGGGTAGTACAGTGAGGGGGTGCAGCACAAATGTTTTGTAGCCTCTTTAAATGTCTGCACCGAAGCTCAGGCCCCTCAGTGATCCAGCAGCACTTTCCCACTGCAGGAGAGACAGACAGGCACATGGTTGCTGTGGGAGGTTTTAAATTTTTAAAAGCTACACGCAGGACGCTTGTAGCAGCTAATCGTGGGGCAGAGACACAAGATGCTCTTAAAGCTCATCTCTGGGCGGCTGACATGCCAGTTTGTGGTGAAAATGATGGTTTCCTTTCCTCGTTACCATAAAGTCGTATTTCCTGCCAAAGACTAAAGCTTCCACGGCCTTTTTTWAATCACCATCTAAACAATATTGACAGAAGTTTCCAGCAGAAACGTCCACCTGAAGATTGTATTTACTGTCCTGTTCGCTCATTATTCATGCATATTTCCAAATGATCTGTAGATCAGTAATTAAATAATGACACTTAACTTAAACACGATGTATGAGAATGTAAAGCTACAGTTTTGTTCTTTGTAAAGATTTTATCTTTGGCCTAGAAAAATCAATGACAATCTGTCTCTTAAGATTCACACTTTTTCCCCGTCTTTTAATGCCTCACTTGCTGGTAGAGATGATGACAATTTTAATGCTTAAAAGGCTTTAAAAAAAAAGGAAAATCGTAATGCAGTTATTCTTGGCGTAAATGTTAAAACACAACCCAGGCCTGTCCCTTGTGGTTGTAAGCTGAAGCAAACYTGCAACAGGAAATGTGATTCGAAGCAAAGGTCACTCAGACCAGACTGTTTTCTCTTATTCAGAGAGGAAATTCTGTTAAATAATGTTCCAGACGAGTGCCGTCGTTGTTCACATCAGTAGGGAAAAAAAAAGTTTAAAAGGTTCGTCTGATTTCTGCAGTACAGGAAACACTCAGATGGTCTTCATGGTTTTTATACATTTTTTACAAAAAGATTAACCAAAACGTTATGCTTAAAGTGAAGTAAAGAAGCTAAAACTGTCTTGCAAAGTTTAATGAAAGGCACAATTCTTACTAAAAATTTAAGAAATGATGCCGATTAAAGTCTGTATGAATCTCTAAAAGGGGGATCTGTGTGATCCAGCAGCATTTGGTTAAGGTGTGAACAGCCTCAGCCCACACTGAAAATTGTTTTACTTTGTTCCTCTTTGGAGGTGGTCTGTACCCTATTTATTGAGAAGGGGTTATATGCGGAATCAAAGTGGGCGTGTCACAAGAGTGGGCGTGTCTAAACCATAAACACTGTGGGCTATGAGGCCTACATGACAGTATCCTTAGATCCTGCTTGATGTCTTTACAGCCTGACCCTGACCCCAACATTAAGGTTAACCAGGAGAAATGTGACCCAAGTAGGGTTCTCCAGAAAAAGTCGTGCCGTACAGTAACACCCCCTTTGCTCTTGTCCAATGAGGTGGTGCCGTACGGTATCGCCCCTTTTTTGCTTACCCACTCACGTGTCTCCCTTTAACAAAGTCCGTCAAATCACGTGTGTCACTTTAGAATCGCTTTTCCTTGTGACACGGCCACTCGTCTGCACTCGTCTGCAGAGACCCCTACTTGCATTTATCCACTTGAGTCCGAACTCTGAGCCTCGATGTAGAACCTCCTGATGTGTCCTAAAAAAAGTGCACCCAGTTCCTGGTTGATTAAAGATAATTAAACATGCATTTTTGAGAATATTTGTCTTTTTTATTTTTAATTTATTTATTTTTTGTTCCAGTTTTGGTTTATTTTGTTTCCTGAACATCTTACTAAACTATTTATCAGTTTTCGTTGTTGGGATTTTATTCTTCAGAGTGGATTACCAGATCGCTGCATTTTGAGTTTCTCAAAATGTTGCATTATAATCACCTGAACAAAAACCGCTCTGACTTTGCAGTCATGAGGATGTAGAACACTGATGGTTGCAGTGGACCATTTTAATGTGGTGAAGTTTTACGATTTAATATCTTCAGTCTATTTTGAAATGCTCTAATTAGCATCTGTTTACAGTTTTCTAAAAAAAAGTGCTGAGAATTTTTCTGTTTTGTGTTTATATTTGATTTCTGCTGTTCCCGTCTAAAAGCACCAGTGCAAGTTTCAAAGTTTTATCACAAATCCAGTCTTTCTATTTGGTTCAAACGTGATTCTGTAACTGAGATTAAAAACAACTAAATTTAGACAATGTAAATTTTTACATTTAGTTACAACCTCCCCGTCAAACCTGTACAGCGATTCAGTTTATCTSTAAAAATGAAAGCCTTATTGGGTCGTTCCTCTACTTATTCAGTCRTCTTGATGAGTCATCGCTACAACGCTGGGTTGTAATTATTCAGRAGAAATGAACAACTCTGAGCCCAGGATGTTCTAACTTTGTGAAGATGCCTCCCTGCAGCTCTGCAGCGCTGTCAGAATTCTCATTAACGCAGCACAATAATGCAGTTAGATAACACTGGGGATTGGTGTGGCTCCAGCGACCCATTTCTCATTTTTCTTTGATGTGTACAGACGTGTGAAGCTCTTAAAAAGGTCCCAATTTGAGGAAAGACAGTCTGTGCTGCCATTGCACACCATCTCCTCCTCACAAGTTTCATTCAAAAAACATGATTCCATACAGGAGAAGACATACTGTGTGCTGCTTCCTTTTATGTGACATAATGTTGACCAGAAAGGCTTCTGTAAATCAATAATCTGGTTCAATACCTCCTTTTTCACAGAGTCTACACATCTATTTCAGTCTCTGAGGCTATTCTAACGCTGAGACTTCAGGGGAGATTAAATATCAAGTGGAAGAAGATCACAGATAAGAACAACAACTGTGGGGAGAAATAGTGCAGCTGTGTGTTTTCAGTCGGACAGCTGAGGTGACCTTTCCCTGAGCTAATGTGGATGTTAACTACACACATAAAACTCTGAACACACTTTATGTAATTATCTCTCAGTAAATCTAACCAAAAACTCAGTTTCACAATCTTAGATTTTACRCAGATTCTGTGGAAAAGTTATGAACAGAATAATATTTTACCTGTTAGATAGGTATTTGAATTTCTTATTTTCATTGAAATGTGATTCAGGGTTGACACTACTCCAGATACTTTTTAAATCAGAATAGTTTGCTTCATCTATATATTTTTTCTCCATCTACACAGTTAAAACATAAACCCTATACTGCACCATTAGGTGGCAAGAACATCCACTGTTAAATATAACAAAATAAAAGATAAAAGCATTAAACGACACACCCCCTCACAGAAACCCCCAAAACAGCTGTAGTTCATTTTATTTATTTATTTATTTATTTATTTATTTATTTATTTATTTTGATACCCTACCATTTCCTCAGTCAACCTTTTAGTTCACAAAGTTTTATGGCAACATCATTAAGAAAAATGAGACAAATTTATAAAGAATGCTAAAAATGGCTCAAAAGGAGCAAAATAAGCTGCTATTATGTTAAAAAAATCTCCATAGATCTTGTAAAGATGAATGAATACAAAAACTTTTGGGGGGGGGGGTCACAAATTATTCACCAAAAATAAAATTTGTGTAAATAGAGAACCAAATGCACCTGAAAATCTTAATTTTTTCCAAAGCTATGTTGGGATTTAATTCTGATTGGACAAACAAGCTGTGGCTAGTCTGAACAAGTTCAAGAAAATTGCTGGTGTCTTAAAACAACTCCAATCTAAAAAGTATAATTTTTCATGCAAACATTATTTTATAAACATTTGTTATCCATTATAATTACATGATCATTTCTAAAATAACCTCTGTTTATTTGAGTGTAGCATTTTCAGGACAGGATATTTCTGGCTAAATTTTTTTAAATAACTGTGTAATACCAGCTGTAAAGCTTTATTAAATAGCATTAACATGAAAGTTTTTAGGAAATTAGAGTTGCTTTAGGACATCACTTGTTGCTCTTGATGACACTTGGACTAGTCATTAGCTCATCAAGTCTGCTCTGATTTCAACTCTGTTTTTCCAAACTAAGRTTGTTCRAAAGCTCCAACAGGAAAGTTATCAATAATTTATAACTTTCTGTAGATCTGTTCAAAATATCAAAACTTTATTCAAATTAAGCCAATTAATTAAAAAAATATTCAAGAAACATGAACTGCTGTAATCAAACGGTTGATTAATTTTAAAGTACGGTAATAATAAAAGCGTGAGTGACCTTCACACTTCTACACCTGCTGTTTGTGGATCAATTTCTTCTCTGGTTTGTTTGTTTCAATCATGTTTCAGGTCACTTGTGGTCAAATCAAAATTCACAGTCAGTGCCAGCGAGGTACAAGCTGAAATGTTTGTCTCTCTTTTGGAAAGGTTTTTTTTTTTCATTAAAAATGAAGGAGCAGTGTACCTGATCTCTTACTATGAAGGCCTAATGAATAAGCAAAACGTGTTGTGTGCCTCTGGTGCTGCTGAACAATAGGAACCATTGCTGCTTGTCAGACCACTTTTTCCACAGCAACATCTGTGGCAGGGGAGAGGGGTAACAAAGACAGCTGAGACCCTGTGGAGCTGCTGTGATGAGAKACAGTAAAACACAGAACATGATCCACCAACACATAAAGTTAATTGTTGTCTTCGTTCCGCATGTCTGACTTCAAAGGGAGGCAATCAATCATAAAAAACAAGGCCACCGATTCTGCGTTTTTCCTGCAGAAACATCTGTGTCAGACTCTCATCTGCGTCATGAGAATCAGAGCAGGAGCATCAATTCCATGTTGGCAGCACAGGTAATGAGAGGCTGCATTCAAARAGCTGAGCATGGAAATGAGAAGCGTAAAAAAAGAGAGGGATTCAAATATGAAGCAGATGGAAAATTTGCATTTAGCATCAAGTGAGCACCGCCAGGTAACTAGTAATGATGTGCAACATGTTGGAGCTAAACAACTGCAATCTGGCCATGCAAAAAAAAAATTAATTAACTGCCGTGACCTGTAGCTGCAAACTGAACCTGAACGCCCTCTGATTGATTTGGTTAAGGTTGTCAGTGAATAACTATTGAAGCTCTATTATTATTGCTGGTGCTCATTGTGCAGTTTTGATATAAAACCTGCAAATTACACAATAAAATGTGTGACATAACCTGGTGACTTTTGGTAGTTTACACAATGTCGATACAAGTACTAACAATATAAAATAAAAAAAATGCTGTGACAAAAAACAACAAACAATGGAGATCTATGGGATTTTGATAAAACAGATGAGAAAATCCAGTCCTCCTTGAAACTCCATAACTCAGTTTTCAAAATAAAACTGTTCAAAATTTAAAATTGTTCAAAGAGATGCAGGAAGTTAGACTGTTTCAGTGTTTACACCATTGCAGTTTGAGTTTTATGACTGTTAAAAAATTTGCCACATAATTTTCATCTGAGAGTTAATGATTGAATTATCTTAAACAGTTGATTTTTTTTTTCTATAAACAAACTTTTCAATACCCTCACAACTCTTTTTGGTACACACACAAACTATGCATCAAAGCTCAGGTGTTTTTGTCTTTTTATGTGTGTTTCTCACTAGTTTAAGACTTTAGTTTTTCTCTCAAATCTCCACTGACTGCAGAGAGCACACCCCCAAGTTTCCATACATTTCAGTTAGATTTTACTTTAAAATGTTATTTTCAAACCTAGAAGAAATTGGCCTTTTTAATTTTTTWAACTTATTTGCCATTGTTTAAATCCTATTGAGATCACAGATCTCTTTTTAAAGGGAGGCCTGGGCCTGAAGACAGACCTATTGTACATGTTTTTGTATCTCCTGCACATAAAAACTGAAGAAGCATTAAAAATACAAATGTTGTCCAACATTTTTGGGAGACATATACTGTAGTTTCTACATAGTGACTGTTTTGAGTTTGATTTTTGTCTGCCAGTCAGGGAGTGAGAGACACAGTTGTGTTGTCATGGCAAACATAAGCCACTGGCAGCAGCTCTAACAACGTTTCAATCTTTCTTATCTTTTACACATTCTAATCAGTTTTCTTATTTTCCCCCACTGTGCATTTTTACTTCATTTAATWATGTTGTAATATGGGACCGTGGAGGCATTGCTTCCTTCAAAACTTATTTGGGAATGTTCTGATTTATTTATTTATTTATGGTTTTAATCCACCTCCGTTCATTAGAGGCTTTTTAATAAGGTCTGACTGCAATGTGTAAAACCCTCAATTAAAAATAATGAAGTTTAGCAATGTCCTTCTCAAAATAAGAACATTGCAATTTATTTTTCCTTAATAAATTGGATTTAGATTGACACAAATGAAAACCGTAAGTAAT